CCTGTGCAAAAGGGCCATACATACTATAGGCTGGAACCGTTACCCAAAAACACATCGGAAAACTTCACTGAAAGATGTGAAATTTCATAGGTGAATATCTCGCTACGCAAAATGGCAGAATGGACTTGGCTGCACTGGCTTTCTTGAGGCCTGGGTTTCACCAGCAGATGTTTTCTATATATTTATTGTATTTTATATATAAGCAATTGGTGCTGTGCAGAGCACTTTCAGAAGAAATCAGCATGCCCAGTGACTCATCTGATTGCAGCAGTACCAAGCATAACGTTCCTGGTAGCGGATCTGCAGCCTAGATGATCACATGCGGTGGTGACATTTAGAGTACATTGCACTTTGAAGTAAAACGAAGCACTGGCCCAAGTGTGAAACAACATGAAACATAAGGCTGTGAATCACGGGGCTTGTATCGTAAACCCTGTATATTTACTGAACGCTTCCTTAAATGAAATTACTTTCTTACATGACTTACTAGAAGGAAACAGCTTTATATGCCTTGAAAATCTGTAACTTTCTGTTGCATGCTGTAGTTCAGCTAATTAATCCTTTCAATGTGTCACATAAGTACCCAATGGATAATTTTCTGTGATGTTACTAGGGCTCAAGAAAATAGCAGTAATCGGAATATTCTGAAACATGACCTAACTCTGGACAGCTTCTCTGGGGAGTGATTCCACATGCCCACACACATGCACACACAACACATTGGTGGAGGATATCTTTGATTGCAGGCAAGAGGATTTGAAAGTTGGGCCCAAAAAAGGAGTATGAACTTTTTGTCCTTCGCAATGTCCCAAATGTTTTAAAATAATTATATCACTTGTCACATAAGTGTTTGGTAGTTCAAGCATGATTGCCTTAATCACGATGTAGAAAATAATGAAAAAATATATAGAAGGGTAACAGAGAATGAGCATGTTGTGTATTTCTGAATTAATCCGTGCAAAATTGTAAGAAATAGGACTGTGGCTACTTGTGAGAAATAGGAATGTTGAGGTTTCACCTAGAACTGAGATACATATATAACTCAGGATTTAGTCTTCACCGATATCAAATCATTCCACAGATTATCATCAAAGAGAGGAGGATAAATAGCAGAAAGGGGGATTTTACCCTGTGTTTTTCCAAAAAGACCCCAAAATGGCATAACTTATTTGCCAATAAATTATATGCACTATGTTATCTTTTAGTCATCCTGATATCTTAGTAGCATTGCCATGGGGAAGCGAGAAGCTAAGAATCTTATTTTTCATGTAAAATGAGATAGGAAAAGTTCTGTTCTTATTAAGTAATCTTGAAGCCGTATTTATACAAAAAAATAGTTAGATTATAGGGTCATAAAGAATTTCTTACTAATTTTGAGCTTTAAGCACGGGGTTCAAGAGAGCGCAGAAAATTATGTATTTGAAAACTCTGCTGCACGGCTGATAAACTGTGTCAACATGTTGATGATACTTAATTTTGTTAACAGTAATATTGTCCTCATGCTGTGCAGAAAACTGAAAATTGTCTGAATTAACAAAAAATGACGGGGTGTTTATTATAACACTCTTTTTAAAAAAAGATTATTTTTGTTACTGCATATAAGGACTTGCAAATGTGTTAGCTAAGTATTGTAGATTTGTTTAGCAAGGCTGCTTGATAGAATTGTTTTAATGTTCTTTTTAGAAAGAGTTAACATAAAGGAGTGAAGGTCTTTTCTTTCACTGAAATTTAGCGGTCCTGTTAAGCATGTACCGGCTTATTTTCTAGGCTCACTTTTATTCCAGCTGTGAGTGGGAAACTTCAGGAAATCATTCCTAAAAAGCACCTTGAGGTGACTAAATTGCTACTTCATTTATATCAAGATGGACAAATTGAAACTCTGCCAACCACAGTCACCAGTGCAAGTCCTGCTGGACTCCCACCCAAACAGATGACACGTTTTGCCTCCTCTGTGATGCAGATATGGGGGATTGATAGTTTCAAAGGTAGGAAGTTCTAGACCAACCTTGTAGATGCTGAAAGCAAGTGGCATTCCTCCCTCTTTCCTTTGTCTCCCCATCAGGATAAGAAATGCTGTCATGGGAAGCACTGAAACCGTTTTAGGGGCTTTTCTTTACATTGCAGTGGCATGAGTATCTGCAGTCAGCAGCAAGTAGGAAAGAACTGTTGTGGTACATGATCTGCTTTGAGAAGGTCTCTTAGAAGTCTGCAAGAACACTGCCAAGTCCCTTTTTATCAAGTGAAGGGCCGTAGTAGCAGAGCTGTTAATGTCCTGTGTTGCATGCTATTAACAGTGCCCTTCCAGAAGACTTGTTTGCAAAATACTGAAATGAAACAACGGCGTTAGCAAATGGCTGACCCTAACTTACAAATAGGACTTAAGCGACTCTCATTAATTTCCGTTTTTGCCTTGTCACATAATAGAGAACAGTTTGGGTGGGGGTTGTATACTGCTAACCAAAGGATCTATTTTATGTTATTGCAGTGGGTGTGTTGCACATGTTCTGTGTTAATGACACTGCTGTTTTAGAGACGGGGACACTCGGGATGAGAAAGGTTAAAACTGGAGAGTTAGCAGTAGCAAGAGTTGAAGAGATGGTTTAAGTGTCGAGCCTGTACCCTAGCAGCTGAGAGGAAGGGGGATTATGAGTCTCGCTGCCGTTCCTTCATGTGGCACAAACTCTGTATGATTTCCGATAAAGCTTCTGCATCTCAGATCCCCATATGGAAAACTGGAAAAATAGTATTTCTTTCACTGCACGGGAATTCAAATTCTCTAGTTAAGAGCCATAAGATTAGGAATGGATGGATCCATTTAACAGCTGAGTGGCCTGAAATTCTGTGGCACTAAACTCTTCTTGGAAGCTCAATTCCTTTTTATCATCATTGCAGAAATTAATCATCTCACTAGAGAAAGGAGTCACTCAGTAAATGTTTTTGTGACAGCAACCCTTCCCACCTTCTAAAGCATTAGAACAGTATTTACCCTTAGGCTATATGCCACATACTTATATGTTATAACAAAATAATCAATGTAGTTTGAATAATCGGGATTAGTATTTTAAACAAGTTTTCTGTAACCTCAACATTAATAGTACTCATTTCACTTTATGATCAGATCTTTAAGAGAAATTACTGATGATCAGAATGAGCTATGTATCCTGTAACACATTATAACTGCTCTGTAAGGTTGATAACGGCCCTATGATTGAAAATCCTTCAAGAACTCCATCTTATAATTCTGCGTCTGTTAAAACCAGAAGTGCTTCTCAGATGCAAGATGATCAATCTTTGTGCACTGCTTAGGACTGACATTGCTTTTATGGCCTTTTACTGTTAAGCTTCTTTGTATTTTGGAGCATAAAAACATATTTTCTTCCTAAGGTTCTGATTTGCATTCACTGAGCCTCTGCAGCAGCTTGAGCTGTTTGGCCCATTAATAGGCAGTTTGAGCTTAAAAATGCTACGCTGTGAAGTAGCACGTCTGTGGCACAACTACATGTTCTCTACTTCGGGGCTTGTGTCCTCCAGAACGGCTACAGGGCAGACAGAAAGGGGTGTCTGTACCAGCAAGATTCATCAGAGCTCGTGTGTCAGAGTTGTTAGTCAAAATTCTGTTCAATTCACAGTCAACAGTTTCCGTCTTTGTTGTTCGTTCACTTTGTTTCTTGCTGGACAGGATTGTTTTCAGGAGTCTTAAATCTTTCTCGTTTTATTTTCCCATTTGGAAAAGGAAAGTCTGTATGTGATATGAGCGGATTCCAGTATTAAGTTAGTGAGAGAAATTCTTTGAAATTAACAGAGGAGCCTAAAATTGCAAAACCTCCATGGTTCCAAGAGCTTTGTAATATTATTTGTTACCAAATACTAACTACCTTTGTTAAACAATTCAAATTGTTTATTCAGTTAACTTGTTCTAAAGTCTCCTGTATTTTAGAATAACGTGTTTCTAATAACCACGTAAATCTGGCACAAACGACATAGCAGCTTCAGTATTTAATGAATATTTAAAAGCTGATCTGCTTTAAAAGCTGACTGTTGGTTAATTTTCATGTTCCCTATTTGTAGCTTGAATTTTTAAATTTTCTCCAAGTTCTTCTGTTTGAGACTTGGTAATAACAGAACAAGGAAAGCTGGTGAGTCCTTTTCTGGTTTGCATCATTGTGGCCTAACTTTTCCTTGGTTCCACAAAATGTGAGTGGATGTGTTTGAGTTGGTTTTAGGATTAATACAGTATGGACATTTTTATTCTGAGAATAAATACTCATTCTTCAATAGTTCTCGTCATCAATGTGGTCTGTACTTTTTCTGCTTCCTCCAGTAGTCTTTCCAATAGGACTTCAAACTATTAGTTGTAAGGCGAGTGATTTAAAAAAAAAAAACTGTTTTAGGGGCAGGTGGCAAATCTTTTCAAGGTTAATAGCCCATTTATAATGGAATACGGTGACCTTAAGGAAATATAATGATTCGTAAACAAAGAAATACAGGGATCTTGCACTTCACTGCTCAACTCTATTGACCCTGAAATGCAGCCATCACATGGGAACTAGCAGAAAGTTGGTGATAGTAAATAATACTCCTTGCTGGTGACAGCACCATAAATGTTTATCATAATAAACAAATATCAAGAATGGAGAAACATACAAATTAAATATAATCTGGGACAACAGAGTACAAAATACAGCAGTGTGATGTTCAAACAAATATTTCTGGTTTTTGACACCAGTACCAAATATGTTATCTGCATTAGGCATGATTTTTGGACCATAAAAGTGGAAAGGTCTGTCAAATGGAGCCTGCTCTTTCTATGAGATTGTCTGTAGAAGTCACGAGTTATAACTTAAGCAGTTCAAGATTTTAATTTTTAAACACTGTCCTAAAAGCAAGATAACCTCCTCATGCAGGGTTTTCTTTTGGCATGATTTTTTTGAAGGTTTGTCTCCACACAAATGCATATTCAGTAAATGAATGTGTCATTTCTGGCTGCTTGATCTTTAAAAATGTATAAATATCTATTTCTATATTATGTATCCATCCTCATTTCTGTTTTTTTTTTTCTTTTGCTCCTGCAGTTTATTGTGGAGTGTCATGGGAATACACTTCTTCCCCAGTTTTTGGGCATGTACCGGCTTACTGTTGATGGAGTTGAAGTATATATGATCGTTACAAGAAATGTGTTCAGCCATCGTTTATCTGTTTATAGAAAATATGATTTAAAGGTGAGAAATAACTGCCAATGAAATAACTGACAAAGTAGCTGAAAATTTTTACTTATAAATGTTAGATTATCCCAATGCTTGAATATTGCTCAGAATTTTAATTAATTTAAAATTGTGTTATATAAGAACCAGCATTAACTGGTTTACTTCTGCATCTAGGTGTAGCAACACTGAAGGATGGTTTTACAGAAATTGTACAAATTTATTTGTATTTTGCATTTTTAAATGGTGCAATTTAACTGGGTATGTTTGTTAAATGTAACTAATGGTTAAAGGTAAAAACCTTCACACAAGTACAATAATAATTCTGCTTCCTTAGGTTTTTATCCCTATTATGGAAAGCCACAGCTGATTCTGCAGAGGGCTTTTATGAAATCACTAAATATCATCATCATTTAAACCAATAAAATGCTACTAACAAAGTACATCACTACTAAAAAACTTCATATTTCATTCTATATTTTAAAACTAATTCAAGTAAAAAAGAGAAGGTTTTTAAAAAAAGAAAATTTCTGTTGCTTTTATCATAAGGTGTGTTTTAGTTTTAGTTCAGAAGGTTTATCTGCTCATGGTAATTTTGCCAATAGTTAATATACAGTGTTTTCAGTGAATGCCCAAAATACAGTCTTAGTCTTTCTGCCTAGGGGACTGTATTTTAATTTCCTCCATAAAGTCTCCCCTTGGAAACCTGCTTCTCTCTAATACATTTATTTTATATGTGTTGAACCACTAACTGCTTCTGCAAACTTGTTTTAAGATGTTTATTCAGCATTCTATATTAAGAGATTTGCAATGCTACATACTGCACCACCCTTTCCTACTGTCAAGTATCTACCTAGCAATTGGTTAGATGGTTGACTGAACATAATTTATAAGAACTGATTTCCAGACTGTCAACAATTGACATTTTGGTATTTAGTATTATTGGGAGCAGAGTTTACCCGAGAAAGATATTTTTTTATTTGAGAGAACTGTATGTGTTTTAGAGCATTATGATGTCCAGATGCCTTTAAAAAGGGATAAAAGCACAACAGAAAAAAAAAAAAATCTACAGTACATTCTCAGCATTGGTGTCAACAGCTCTTGCTATTATTTACCTCTGTCAATGCTTCTGTACTCTATTCAGTTTGTCCAGCTAGACAGAATTGCTTTAAAGATAAACTCTTCTTGCAATTTAAACTTAACATTAATATCATGTTATTCTTCAAAACAAACTCCTTCACTGAGCAGATTTATAGTGACACTGCATATATTATACAGCACTTTTTCTTTATTTTCATTGCTACAGCATCTGCATTTGTAGGTTCAGAGTCCTTTTTTGACATATTTTTGACACCAGCTTAGAGCTCACTTGTAGCACAAGTTTCCACCTGTGCAGATACTAAGAAAAAGAGACCACACATCAGCACGGGATTTCAAAGGTGTTTTCCTGGCCAATGAGGTTTATTAAAAATTTATATAAAAATTACTTCAATGTCAAATTTGGCAATCTCCCTAATTTTTAACTGTTGTAAATCCACTTTTTTTCCTCTGGTTTGGTTTTCAGATGATCTTTTTTTCAGGCCCAGTAGTCTTTTGGAGCAGTCTGTTGGAGCACAGAATACAACATAAAGGATGTATCATCAATAAACTAAAATGGCAGGCTTTTACTAGGCTTTATTATCATTTAACAATATAATGCAATTAAATCCTTGCTTGCTGGGCCATACATAATAACCGAAAAGGTACTGTCCCGTTTATCTCTTCTGTCCATCCTTTCTAAGTTTTCTAAGTTGCTCTCTGCAAACAGAATAAAACATGGTACAAAAAGATGTGGTTGGGAATCCGCACGTTCTTTAAACTAGCATGACTCCATTCCAGCACTTCTTTACACAAGGCACACCTTCCAACAAACGATAGAGCTAATTTACCCATCTTTCAATGTCCAAGTATCATGTTTATAGTTGTTATTTCTTGCAGTGCTATTATGTGATAAACAAATGCTGGGTACTTAAAGGTGTGGTCCTGCTCCAAGAAATTTGCAAGGAAATATATACAGCCATTTTTTTGTCACCTCTGGCTTATTCAGAAAGCACCATATTTCCTACTGATTTTAAGCTAAAAAATAAATTAAAAAAAATTAAATTTCAAAAATGTCTTTGGCAAGCACTGTAAATCTTGTGAATCCATAGTTGGTCTCATCTCCTCTTTTGACTTCATGTTGCTGTGAGGTGCATTGTTCTTGTTTGTACTTTGTGATCTTTTAAATATTTTTATGTTTTTATGTTGTGTGACATCCTGTTCAAACGTATATTGCATATGTTCGAATAGTTATATAGAATAGGCTACTCCATAACCATACAGCTGAATTGGCACAAAAAGATGAGAAGTCTGCCAAGCAAACTTGAACTTCCAGGGTGATAGTCTCAAAATGAGGACAAGACATGAGGAAGAAGCTCCAGCAGTCAGGAGGACAATAGATGTAGTGCATTTGAGCATTTAATTCATCTTTCTTCTCTCATGACACATCTTCTTCAAGTGATTGCAGCAGTTCAGCAGCCCTGGGCATTCTACCTACTGTGTCACTTTTCTTTAAAACAGCTCTCAAGTTCAGAAGGATGCAGTTCATCCGCTTTTTGACCTGTTATCGTAACATTTTCAAATTAGTTTCTGACATATGCACATTTTTAGATCCATTTTTTCTGTTTCAGGGCTCTACTGTGGCTCGAGAAGCCAGTGACAAAGAAAAGGTACGGTGCATTTCTGTTTCTTTTTCAGTTATCTAACCTGCTAGCTAGTCTCAGGACAAACATAACCAGCGCTGTTCTGCCCCTTTTCTTTGTTTTCTGTCATATTCTCCCCTCTTGAGTTCTGCCTTATTCCCTCCTTTATCTTTCCTCTATTTTCTGCAGACCTTTGAATATTGGTTTGCAGTGGTGTTGAGATTTCAGAGGTAAGTGAGCCAATCCTCTACCTCCTTTTCCTTTTTTCTCTTCTCTTCTTAGTTTCTTCAGGGCCTGCCCTGTGGTAGGAAAACATCAGGACTTTCTTGTCTTCCCTCCTGCTGCTTCATCTTCTTTCTCTTGCTCTTTAATATTGAAATTTATGGATACTCCATGTGAGTTAATGGAATGATGTGATGTGGCACCACTTCTAAAGTGAATGCAAAGATGAACCAAACCTTGAATTGTGAGAACCTTTGGGTATGTAAAGCTCATATGAACAAGCAAACAACTGACAGATGTATGTGTAGCTATAATGAGAGACGGTGTCCCTTAAATTCTGGGCTGAAACGTTGCTCTAAAAGGAAATTGATCGCTTTGTTTTTCTCCATCTCCAACTTCAGTTCATTTGGAAAATTTAATGTTCTCGAAATCAACATGTCTCCAAGGTTTTAGTGAAATAGCCTGGTGGCACTTTGGGGGAGGTTTGTCTAAGATTCTACGGATAATTGAACGTGGAACATAGTCTCCATCATCTAAGACTTCTTAGATTTCCAAATTTGGGTGAAGCCTAGGAGCCCATGACACTTGTTTTCTTAATTTTTCTAAGCACATTCCTTCTGAATTAGCATGAGATCATTCAGCAATTCACTTAAAATACTTCATTTTATATTGTCCCCAAATTCCATTCAGCTCATTTGTTTTTCTCCGAAGCTTTAGTTGTACTATACCTGCCTCTCTGAGTCTTCTACAGACCATACAAGTGCACTAAGGAGTAAGGGACATGCAGTAGCTGTCAGTTCTACAGTTCTCGCTGCATGAAAAACTCTGTGCAAGGTTTTTCCACTTCATTCTATGATCAAGCACTTACAATTCTTCTTCCAGCATTAGGCAACTACCATGTCCCAAACGCCAATGGCAGTTACAATAGTCAGCGTTAACTCTCTTGCTGTACCGGGCCTTCAAGATCATGTCTTGAATGGTCTCCATTCTTTTCTTGTGATCTATTTTGGTTCTTGTTTAAGAGCACAACTCTAGTGTTTTTAAAGCAGAGGGATTAACCCTTCAGTGTCTTACAAATGATACCTAGTGTCATTGAAAACCTCTGCTGGTAGTACTAAAATAATCTGATAGAACTGTGGAGGGCAAGTTATTTGGATGGGACTACTTCAGGTTGCAAAGTTAATGCTTGGAATAGTAATGTAAAATTTAATCATATTATGTATATTCAGCTATACAGGAGTTGATAGTATTCAGATATTTAGTGCAGTGGTTTTGTGCAGTTTTAGGAGTATGTCTCGTAATAGTAAATAGATTAATAATAGTACACATGTACTGTAGTTAATATGTTGAGGGAGAACCTCAGAGAAACAGTGCCTTGATTTTGTTCCCATGTAAGTTCGTGGCAAAATTACTATTGAACTTGGTTATGGCTAAGTTGAAAGAAAGTTGTATAGTTTTGTATAACTGTATACAACAATTACTCTGTAAATTTAATGTGAAATCATAACTTCAGTAATGCCAATGACAAAAATTCCTATCAACTTCAACACCTCTAGAACCTTCCCTTTCATTTTGAGTACTTCTATGAAACAAATGTAAAAAAACCACCTCTCCCAAATTATTATTCTGCTATTTTAAATCTCACGCATTATTGTCTTCTCAAAGGAATTTGATTTCTTGGAGACAGAACTACACTAAGCTTATTGATGTTGCAAGCAGACAGTCTGAAGCTGTTAGAACTGCCTTCTGTTACTCGTCGTTCCCCTCAAACGCCGATGTAGTGCAGCAGGGAAGCCACAAGCTAACGCTTAGGACAAACATGTCTAAGAAAGGGAATTAACTGGGTAGACTTCTAAGTTCATAGAGGGAACATTTTACAAACACTTTAAGAAAGACTCTTAGGGATTCAAGCAAGGGAAAAACAGTATTACGCTTTTTACATGGGTTTTGTGTAAGTTTTGGAGTCTGCTGTTTGATTTGAAAGGGTCATAAGAATACACTACCACGTGTCTGTATTGTAGATGTTCGGAACATTCATCGTCACTGTGATCTGAATCTCCTGCAATAGGCAGTAGAACTGCAGTGATTTTCTCATCTAAACTATTCAAGTGTTTCTAACGCACAGTTTTTAAGCTTAAAAAAAAGGGGGGGTGTGTATTTGTACAAATAGACTGGGAAAGTTTGTTTTTGAAACTCAGAGCAGTTCTTAAAGACTAAAGATACTATCATGAGATGTATCTCTGCCCCCTCTAATTTCAGGGCCTTGAGGACTGTGTGGACGTAAGTATGAAAATGGTCCGTTGTTCGTAACTGGCAAGTGAGCGCCCTGTAGCATGTTTTTTTACTTCCATTTTCTCTTCAGTAGATGTCATTATTTCAAACTTCTGGTTTGTTTTCTTCAGTGGGAATCTCAAGCCAATCTTAAAGATGTTAAAATGCTTGGAAAATTTTAGCATGAAAAGGAAAAAAAGGGCATTTTTAGCAAATGCTCTGAAGAGATGTTGGCATCTCCTATGTTAAATAATTAAACAAAACCAGACAATCTCAAATACTTAGCTGATGTAGTAACTTATTAGCTAATTTTTAGCCAGAGGCAAGTTAAATCATCAATTTATTAATATCATCCTGAAATGACATTAATAATAATAGAATTCCAATTAATGGCAGCATTATTTAATTACTTGTTACAAAGGTATCCACTACTGTTCACATCTGAAAAACAGAAAAGTAATAAAAGACAGGAAGCTTTTGGTGCTAAAATACAGGGCTAAAATGTCTGGTAATGCTGTAGTTTTTAAATGAGCTTTTAAGTAATTCATATTTAATTTCGAAAGGCAATATTCAAGTAATCAAATGGTTTTCAGAATATTGAGCATAATATGTTAGCTTCTTTTAAAGCTGCAGAAACTAGAAAACAGAAGAGCAAGTCTATCAGTCACATTCTAATGGAGACTGCAGATTTTAGGTAAATTACTTCGAAATGGCAAACTTGGCTAGATTGATGATGGTTTTGAATCTTTTTCCTATCAAGCTACACTTTTGTTATTTACTCGGTTAATAAATAAGAGTCAGTCAATTAAGCGGGAAGATTTAATGGACCATAAAATAGGAAATCAGGGAAAAAAAGTCTTTTTCTACTTTAGTTTTATAGTATTAAAAAAGATATTAGTATTTAAACATTTTTAATCACTTTTTAGGAAGAAAAGCTGGCTGGAACGACTTCAGAATGTTACTTTTCTGTCCTGTTTTCAGTTTATCTTCTATTTGACTGTCTTCAACTGTTTAATATCCTAACATTATTGATGATAAGCTCTGAAACTGTCATTTCAATATTTTGTGATAATCAGTGCAGAGACAAGCTCCATCCCTTAGATTTCACCTTAATACACAGTTCCTCTCATTTGCATTGTAAGTGATATTTTTAATAATAAAAGCGTCACTTCATTGGCAACAAGTATCATAACATGCACTTACAGATGTCCTGAATTTAAAAAGAACAGTATGTTTCAACAGTTGTCAAATTCTGACAGCTGCTCCTTTATTTGTTTTAGGCTTTAGTTCTTTTTTTTTATTATTATTATTATTTTAATAGTGGGCATTTTCTATTCATTCCTTGGACAATTTTGCCCTCTTAAGTGAAACCAGGATAATGCAGAACTCCCCTGGTGGTCTGCCTGCTCACAATTAGGCTATACGGGCAGTATGACATCAAATTAGCAGTTACAGTTGAGTGTACTTGTACTTATAAAGAAGTTAAGCATGTTTCTTGTGAGTGAGCAATTCAGAAGGAAATTTGAAGAAGAAAAATGAAACCTAACTGAGCTTGAAGCCCACCATATTTCATCTTGAGCAATTTCATTGATTATTATATTTTTTAATTAATCTAAAACTGGTTGCATTGCCACCTCTGTGGTATGTGTTGTTCATAAATAAGAATAAATGCATAAAAATTACATACAAAAATAAATACATTTGAACAAAGGATTTTCTGTTCAGGTTCCTTTTGGGGAAAAAATTGCCATAGTTGACAGCTATGATGTTATATCTTAGTTAAATTGTATGCAAAATACATAACTGATAATTAGATTGGAAGATGCTGCTAGATGCGACAAATTACTTCTTAGCTTTACCTTTTACGTTATATATTACAACATACAGTGATTAACTGATCTCTGAGAGGACAATTATAACTAAAGGAAGAAGGATTTTAGTATAGGAGCATAGCAACAAGATTACTCAGTCTTGAATTAGCTTTTTGCTTTTGATGTCAATAGGTAAAACTTCATTCAAACTAGACCGTCCCAAAATCTGAGCTGTTTTTTCCTGCTATTTTAAAATTGCTAATTTTAGGACATCCTTTTTTTACTTATTTCTTTTAGTGATTTCTGTCTGCTTCATATGCCAGTCTCACACATCAGACATGTGAAGCATGTCTTAGATTTCTCTGTGAAATGTGAATCTCAAGGTTGCATATACAGAGATTACAACTTTCAAAACATCACGCTGCAATGCATTGCAAAGATAGGAATGGACATTCAGAGTTCAGATTCCTATTTCAGGATTTAGCCTTCACATGACACCAACCCCATTATTGTTTTTCAAAACAAATCACTAGTTTGCCTTTGTTTGGGGTTTTTCTTGTTTAAAAGTCTGTTTTCCATATGTTAAAAGGATTTAAAAAAAAATAAAAGGGGAACTGTGTCTTGCATTTTATACATTGCATGTTCATTTTGCAGCAAGAAGACATTAAGCCTAGGGATAATTCCGGATGCATTTCCCTGAGCATTCAAAAGACATATAGTTACTATTTTGGTACATGCTCGAACTCCTAATCCATCTAGAATGCCCTGGGTTTTTTGGGGTTTTTTGGGGTTTTTTTTTTGTTTTTTTGGTTTTTTTTTTTTTGGTCCTACAAAAATGTCTGTTATACTGGCTAAAACCAGTCTGGAGTTCCCTCTCAAACCCCTCATTGTGGTTACAGCTCTATTTCTACTCCATTTACAGTCGCTGCGATGGCAAGTGGAGCTGCTGGTCATCATTTGGTTAGAAACCCTCATCTAGGACAAGGCAAATTGCACAACAAAAGTTTGGATCCAGCTCCCAGAATACTGGAGGGAAGAAGCTGCAGTCTTCAAACCTCCAAAGAGCGCTCTAGTTATTCTTCCGTCTTGTAGATCTAGTGACTCCAGACTTTTGATTCAGTTCAAAACCACCTGTGCCAATTGATTGGAAACTATATTTAGCATAATAATATCCTTTTTTTAAAAACACGACCTTCCATACGTGCTGCTGAGCACAGTCAGTCTAAAGTTCATCTAGCTTAATTTTTGTGTTAAAAGGGTGCATGTGAGCCATTGGCTGTGAAAAGAGGCCCAGGGTGTGGAACTTCACTCTTTTCAAAAGCTATAAACTGTAATCCAAATCTTGCCATGATTAGCTGTGTGAATAACATGACCTGTGGCTAGCTGCAAACAAACAATAAGACTGCTCTGCAACCTTTCTCCTAGAACCTAATCTTTGTCTTTGTTAGGTGAGAAATTGCTGCCAGGTTGTGAACACATTTTTTTTTGCTTTTCCTTTTTTCAATCCAAGACTTACTTTGAAATTTAACTGTCCTACAGCTGTTTTTTAGCAAGCTTCTTCCAAAATGTTGGCATTAATGTTAACCATGATCATTATTTTTGGTCATGATGCACAAAAATGCCTTTGGAAAAAAAAAATTGCTAATATTTATTTCAACACATTAGGATAGGATGCTGAATTGAGATATGTTCAGAAATCTGCAAAAACTATTTCCATGTTCATATAGAAATAAAACTCCACCTGGTTCTTGCCATTCAAGAATTTTAGGTTGGATTTGTGTTTGTGGTTTTTTTTAAAAAAAACAATGTCAGTGGGCTGTTTCACCATAATTTTAGTTTTTGAATCAGGCTTTACACATTCTGTCATCTTAGTCAAAGAAATCTTTACTGCTTTTCAGCCTTCTCAAAGGCAGTGAAATATTCTTGCCATTAAAATTCTCTGTGACTCTGGCAAACTTTGGAATGCAAACCTGAAGTGTGCAGGTTTAGCTTTTTCTAATTTAATGGTTTTGATTTAATTTTTTAAATAAATAAATACTTCATATTTGTAAAATCTGTTGTGCCTTTCTTGTATCTTTAAGTAGGGGATTAAAAACGACGGAGATGGTTCAGAAAGAAAATCTATTATTAATTTAGTGGAAGTAGTTAGATGTTCATCTCCTGCACAGCTCTTAAAATATTTAGTTCTTTAATGATAGTAATATGTTCATTATAATGAATTACATTCTAGGAGAATCTTTTTCCAACAAGGATTTTGCTTCATTGGAAATATTTGAGACTTCATTAAAAATTAACCGTATCAATTATTTCATTAAAGCAAAGTCTTAATTTTTTCATTTAGATAGTGTTTTAAACTGCCACATGTGGTTTTCTTTGTATGTATTTATTTTGGTGCATTAGAAGAAAGTGTACGTATTAGGATTTTTCAACATGAATACATGTATTATTAATTTTAAATAACTACGAGAGCCCTTCCCAGTTGCATATTTCATAGGTTTTCATTCCTAAATTCACAAATCAATTTTAAGACATGAATTTCAGTTCAAATACTACTAGAATTGCTACTAGTGCTGTCTGTCATTAGTAATATTTAGGACTGCAACAGTATCCTAGGGCTGTTAGCGTTGGACAAACAGGGAGAATGACACTGCCCAGCACACGGAAAAAGAGCTTTGTCTAGTAACACCTAGAAAGAGGGAAGAGAATAGTCTGGGAAGCATCATACAAATAATGTGGGGAGGGCAGCCACTGGCACGTAGCTTTTTAGCTTCAGTTTCTTATATGGGACCCACTGCTTCCACTTCTTCCTTTTCTTCCACGCGCCTCAGCACTGGCGTTTAATTTACGCAGTTCTGCACTTGCCAAGTCTTCAGAGCTGCGGGTGTTTGGGTGAAGAAAAATGACCTCAGATAAAAGTCCTCAGAGGGATTATTGGGGACTGGGGGAGGCTGCACAAGAGGCAGTGAAGAGTCTGGCTTTTTGGGAGAGCTGATTCACTGCCCTGAACGTCCTTGGGTGTACCCCTTGGGTCTTGTGACGGCAGGGACGGTGCGGCTGTGTCAGCTTTGCCAGCTCACTTTTAATAAAAATAGATTAGAGACGAGGGTGCAGCGGAGCATGGCACCTGCAGGACTGCCTTACCAGCTCTGGCGTCTTCCAAGAAGATGTTGCTTGTAGTGTAAGTTTATTTTTACTCAACATAGGACTGTCTTCAGTGGCACGGCGTGCTTCCCCCTCCTACCGCCCGCCGGGTCTGACCGGCTGATGCCGTGCTGTGCAGGAAGTCTGCGGCAGAGCCTAGAGATGAGCCTGCATCTCAGCGTCTCAACCACAAGCACATCCTTCCTCTTTACTCCCTCCCCGCCCCCCCAGCTTTAAACAGCATTAATAGGGGCTTTTTCAGTGTTAACGGGTTTGTTTCACTTTAGCCTCTTGCATAGTTTAATAAATAACTTGGATATACTAGGTGGAAAGATAATCTGAGGGGGGGGGTTTAGCTAGAAATGAAGGGAGATTGGTTTCCTGCATTCTTTTCATTATTGTTTCATCTTAAATTAATTCATCCAAATCTCCTCTCCATTCTTAAGCATCCCACGCACTGGATTCCATCCTCCAGTGTTGGCAACATCCCTGGATCCTCAGTCCCGCCTCTGCAGAATTAGCCCTTATCCATGGGACAGTTTGCTCAATTGTGTATGATAATGGCTACAGCTGTTAGTCTGGAATACTTCTCTGATGTTTCCCCTACTCATTTTCATCCTAAACCACTTACAGAGTGGGCCAGAAAGAAAATGGATGCATGCTGTGCCGTCATATTGTAGTAAACAAGTCATTGTGAGCTTCAAGAAGTGTCCTAACGTCATCTTCAAGCAACAGAGCACTGGGGGATGACTCCTCCATGGAAGGAGTCTGGGACAGATGGATGGTTATAGCTCCATCTCAGCTGCTTGGGGTTTTTTCCCTTTTATTTTAGATTAAAAGACAGGGTCTCTATTAAAAGGTATTTTAATATATCAGAATGTTGTAGATGCAACACAGTAATAATTCAGAGCAGCCAGGGTAGGATCTTATTTGTTTCCAGAGCTCATAGGTGTTGGGATGCAATGGATTTGACATGGTTTCATACCTACTAAAATGTTACTAGTTGCTTAAGTGGTTTTGAGCAGTTATTGGAAGAGAAGGGTCACTTTTCTAAACAAAAGCAGCACATTGTGGGATCTTGAGCAATTCACAAATTTCAGGTCCAAACAGTAAATTTGGACAGTTTGGGGAGCTGAATATTTCAGCCACTCCTGTGCACAGCCCATCAGCAAAAAGAACTTTTGGCCACTGTGAAGATCTATAAGGGCATTTAGGGTGATGATCATCTGCTGTGATGCTTACATTTTAATGCTGTGCTTTCCAATGCGTACATTTTGGAGCAGAGAAAAGAACTTCTGAAATTCTTTTCCTTACTGTGTTGTAGGAAAAAAAATACACTTTATGAAAAATACCATCTCCAGTAAGGTTACAAGCCATGTCTGACTAGCTACACTTACGGGGGGACATCCCAGTAGGCTGATGTTAGCTGCCTTTTATTCCTAGCAGAAGGACTTTCAGATTAAGGGGAAATTATTTTATTCAAAGCACCCATTAGTTCATGGTCACTGAGAGTTGCAGCACTCCGTTGTTCTGCAACATCATTTTTGTAAAGAAAACCTGTTCTTCCCTACTATTGATTAAAGGTGGGGGGCAGGGAAAAAGGCTGTTCATCGCTCTTAGTGAGCCAATTTTTTTCAAGGCTCTGATTGCAGAAGCTACTATTACTTCTAGTTTGCTTGACCAAATACCCTGAAGGAACTGCTCTTTTGTTTGTTGGCTTTGAGCAAAGTTCCAGTCGCTGCCCTTTGAAAGCAGAGCCCGCCTGAGGGGTCTTAGTACTGAATCCAGGGGCTACTCTGTCTGGCTTTTCTTAACGCTGTTGCAAATCACTTCATGGGAGAGTTAAAGATGAAGATAATCAACTAATGCTCCAACATCGAGAATATTTAATTACATATTTAAAAGGTACTGATCTTCTCTGGCATTTGCCACTTCTAAGCAGCATTTCATAATTCATGTTCGGTTGATGCTTTCAAAGAATTATTTGGTATTAAGCGCTTATAAACATTCACAGTAGCTATGTAAAATGCAATCCGATCTGACTTCATCTATAAGATCTGATGCAAGGACTTTGTTATGAGGTATAGATTGTGTTTCAACTTCACTTATTGCCAGTCACTTTGACAAATGACATCTTGGAAGAAGCTCGATGCAAATCAAGGTTCGATGCAAATCAAATATTGAGTCAGAGATTTTTGTCTTAGCTACATTTGCTGCGTGCTCCGTAAACGCATACCTTCCAGGCCACTTACAGGAGGGATAAACTAAGGGAACGGCTCCGTGGGTGCAGTTACGGAGAGCTGCGTGCGATGGAGGTGCCTCTGCTTCCCCCGGCGCGGCAGCTCGGCGATGCTCTCTCGGGCACCGGGGAGCTCCAGAGGTGCCGCTGCCGGCGGGGGGGCCGCGCCGGGCCAGCAGCTTCACCGCATTCCTCTTTGCGATCCTGCTCTTACAGGAGTTTTGGTTTATTTTAGGCCAAAGAGCTGCCGACGTTCAAAGACAATGATTTTATTAACGATGGCCAAAAGATTCATATTGATGAGAATAACAAAAAGATGTTCCTTGAGAAACTCAAGAAGGATGTCGAGGTAAGAATGTGCCTGTTCAGTTACGCATGATTAAAATGTGTGGCAAATTACAGATATCCCAGGAAATCGTACCTGTAATTCATTAATGAAAGCTGTTGTTTGTAAGACTGTAAGCGCTGACTTTTTTAAATGAAACACAACTTAAGCTTTCAGGAGTTGATCACTGCTTGTGATAACCGGCTTGCTGCCGTAGCTGGTTGCCATACTTTGTCCGTGCCTTGACGATGTGATGTTAAAATGATGGTACTACTTAGTGCTTAAGCGCTTTACAAGCCTAGTACTGCCCCAAGAGAGAGGTGAGAGTTATGAGTTGCATTTTACAGGTGGAGGTACACCAGAGCTGAGGCTGTCCACGGACTTGTAGTCCGTAACACAGAATGTAGCATCCCCTACACACAGCCGTGCATGTTCTATTTGTTTCATATTAGTAATCCAGTTTTAAATCATCACGACAGTAGTATCACAACAGGTAGAGTGCTTCCGTAATGCGTATAGAGCAGTTGGACTCATTATCTTAATGTTGTCTTCTCATATAAATTTGTAATTGGCTGAATGTCATCAATACTTAATAGGAAAGTGTTAATATGTGAATTTAATGTAATATTTTAACTGATTTAGTTCAGCAAATAAGAGAAAATAAATATTGCAGTAACTAGTTCACACAGCTTGACTTTAGTTTCCGTAACTGAAAATATTGTCACTAAATACAACATTTTGCAATCCCTATACTTAGAGCCTAAAATCTGTTTTCCTTGTTGGAAGAGACCTGATAGCAAAATGTGTCTGTGATCTAAAAAGACTTTCAGCTGTTCATATTAAAATGGCTCTGTGAATTGACCTGTCTAGTTCTTCAGATCTATATATCAGTAGCTGCACAAAACAAAATACTGTAACTTTAGAATTTACCCAATAATTTGCTTTTGGGGAAACCTAATTTCCCATCATAATCACTGAGAAATTTATGGTGATTGTAATTATGAAAACATAAATATTTTCTGAAATATCAATGTGTGTTTATTTTATATTTAAAACATTGTGCTGGAAAACTCCTCTACCGATGTCACAGCTCTAAGAGAGAAGTTTATTTGGGTTTAAGTTCCGTGCTCTTTTAACATGCACTGTTGTTGCTGACTAACACTTTCACAGTAAGTAGGTTTGCGGACGAGATCTTAAGTATGTGCAGTGAACATGGAAGATGCTTTATTACCCCGGAGAGTGGATTGTGTGCGGTCTTCTACATCATTTACTGGATTGTAAATATAATGGCAGATTCCAGATCATGTCTTGAGAGGCTATGTTTTACGGTTTTGAAATTTGTACAGAGCATTGTTAAATATCCCTGTAACCCACTTGTGTGGAGTGATCTGGTGCCTGATTTTAGCTGTTCTTTAACCTTGTTTTTCTTTTACATGTTCTTCTGCCCTCGTTAGATATCTGATAGCATGCAGTTTGTACCCAGTGCGTAAACACTCAGATTTCACTCCAATGAAAAGAAATGCACAGCACATAATATATGATTATTTTATTTAGTGTTCATAGTTAAAAATATTACGGAGTAGTATTCTAAACTGTATGACTTTATATCTGCTCTTGTTTGTCATTAAGTAATTTTTGTTACTATGTTTCTGTCATAATCGAGTCTTATATCCCCTTCCTGTGTTCAAACAAGTATCTATTACTGCTGTTTTGATGTCCTCTTGTCCATTTTCCTGCCTCCTCATTCCATTGCAAATGTCCTGAGAAAAAGCACATAGGGATATTTTTTCCATTTTAAATCATATTATTTTTACCTTGTGCTGATCTCCCTTAGTCTTTTTGCTTTCAGCAGCAGCACGCTTTTTTCCCCAAGAGCCGTTCTCTTCTAATTTGCAGTTCACTCTTTTTCCCAGAGGTCTGTTCTCTTTTGTGCTTTTTTGTATGATTATTGGTAAATTTTTCTCCTGTCTCTCTTGGTGTTTATCAAATACCTAATGACATGCCTTTCATGGAGTCTTTCCACTCCATCGCCTTCGGCTAATCTCATCTGTTCTTCTTGTATATTGTTGTACACCGTCTCTTCAGTCTTTTAGACTTGTGAAGAGTCTTTTGCTTTATTAAATTAAAATGGTTAGAAACCAATTTCTTCTTTCTTCTTAAAACCTCTTCTCAACCTCACAATATTTCTTCTAGTTCTTGAATTTACAGTCACTTGTTATCTCTGATTCCTCTCTTTTCTCAGAGTCAGGGTTTTGACAAACCATAGTTTCTCATTTCCTAGTATTTTTCACTCATCTCTCTCATCCCTATCACTATTCCAAAGTCTGGCTTAACTCCCTTCTCTGGTCTGCTCTGACTTCCTTTTTATAGCCATTTAGAGTCTCTAAAAACTGAAGCAACTTGTGTTTTCAGCCTCTTCCTATGCATATCACAAGCAGTGGCTCCCCAAGTTCAAAATCTCAGTATTGCTTTTAGGCTGCAGCACAGCTCTGCCCTGCCTGCCCCTCACCCCTTGAATTATTTATCCCATCTTCTTGCTTTTATATCTTCCTTATTTCCGTCCTCCTGTCTTAGCTTTTTGCCTTATCCTGTTCCCCTCAACTGTCTATACATCAAGCGCATTCATTTTTCAGTCTCCTTCAAATCCCTCAGGCTTCATTCAAAACTACCCTTTCGTTCACATTTTGCTCACATGATTTAAATTGTGAGCCTGTCGCTGTGAGGAGAATATAGCATCGTTTCCTGTCTTCATGATGTAAAACTTCACTACTTTCCACTGCAAGAATATTTAAATACTTTTTCACGATTCTTTGATAAGGCTTAAAAGGGAGCGAGGGGGCGGGTTTAGCCCCAGATCGTAGCGCGCCTGGTAGCACAGAGGCTGCTGCGGACGTCGAGCAGTGCCGGGATAGCCCTAATAGACACCTAAGACGGGAGTGACCGTCATTGGCTCGCATAGGCACCGGTATTCACTACAGGAAAGATGATTTTTCCCTGAGGATTTTGGGAGAGTGGGCTACAGCCTTTTGTAAAAGAAGTTGCGAGTGACCTGCGTGCTGTTGCTACATCTTAATAAATTCAAGTCTCTCTCTGCTAGCTTTAGCACTTAATCCTCCCTTTTGCTCCCTCTTGGACGTGCCTGTTTCTCTCGACTGATGACATCTTTGTGTAACTTCCCCTGTTTGTAAGTGGAGCTTACGTTTTTCAGTGATATTGATAAATCGCTTATTATCACTTTCTAGTTCCTTGCTCAGTTAAAACTCATGGACTACAGCTTGCTGGTTGGAATTCATGATGTTGAAAGAGCTGAACAGGAAGAAGTAGAGTGTGAAGAGAATGATGGGGAAGAGGAAGGTGAAAGTGATGGGACCCACCCCATTGGAACCCCTCCAGACAGTCCAGGAAACACGCTGAACAGCTCGCTGCCCTTGGCTCCGGGGGAATTTGATCCAGCTATTGATGTTTATGGAATAAAATCCCATGAAAGTAAGCAGTAATAGATACTTTTATGTTAAGATGTTTTGATTCTTACACCAGAATCTTGAAGTCTTCACAACCATATAAAGGCAAAGTTAAACTGCAAAATATAAACTCTGTAGAAGAGGAAGTGAGTTGCTCTTTGGTGCAGCAGAAAGCAGAAGACGCCTATAACGCTCAGCATTGTTATGAACATATTTCTTAAATATTGTGATCTGTGGGCATGCAGTCAAGTAATTCACCTACGACACAACCAGATCATGTACTGGCTTACCAGTTCTCAGCTAATTTACGGGTTTTTTCATCCCTTTCAGGCAATCTAGTTTTTCTGATTGTTCTTTTCCTGGCAGATAAGAGAATACTGTTAAAAACAGCCTAGAAAGAATGAGAAAAACAGCATTCCAACTTATATTTGACTTTTCTGGTTGCTCTTTGAAAATTTGTGCACTCATACCCAATTTCTGTGTTCCAACTAAGAAAGTCGTTGTAAGGAGTGTGTAAGAAGCCTGAAACTGGGTTTGATGTTAGTTATCTGTGACTGTTCAAGATGGGAAAGTTACCTTCTTTTTTTTTAATAAGCATTTACATGGATAAATACATGTTTTTACTCATAAAGAAAATGTCATCTTGTTTGTTGACACAGAAGGATTACCTTCCATATAAAACTTCTTAGTTTATCCACAAAGGACCATTAAATCCACATTACTTGAAGTGAGCAATAATTCCTATTTCTGTATGCTGGTGTTTTATTTTACCCTCATTTGGGGAATTTTGCATTATATATGAGTGCAGTTAAACTCTCAATTAAGAACGGCTTGAGCCTGTGGTCTTCACAGAGCTCTGATTCCGACTGACATTAACCTGTCTTAGCTGCTAATCGAGCCTTATAAAGTCTCCTTAGAAGGAGGACTCGTGATTAAGATGTCTCAAAAGTCATTCTTACTGCCATGTATTTGCCATTTGCAGATGCACCTAGGAAGGAAGTATACTTTATGGCCATTATTGACATTCTTACTCATTATGATGCAAAAAAGAAAGCTGCCCATGCTGCAAAAACGGTAAAGCACGGGGTAAGTACCTGGGTTGTTTTTTTCCTCTGATTCCATTTATACTGCTGCTTTTTTGTTGTTTAGTACACTGATAGAGCACTGTTCAGGAAATCTAGGGAAAGGGGAAATAGATCAGAATTTTTTCAGGTTTTTTCCCTAGTTTAATCTGTAATACAAAAGTAGAGTAGCTGCTACACATTACATACTGAGAGTGGAACTGCCTTTTCAGCTGTACGCATGGCTTTCTTACCCATAAAGAGCTCTAGCGAGATGCCTTTTTAGGACTTTGTTCTAAATTTGTGAGATGCACCTTATTCTTGCAAACAAAGCTCTTCACCAGACACTTGTATGAGTATACAGCACTGTGAAAGCTGTTGTGAATCTTATTTCAGATGCAGAGCCCTAATGACGGTTTCATTATTTGGTTCAGCCTGTTGAAAGTTTAATTCTTCAGCAACTAATGTGGCTCACTTTACAAGACTTCTTAAAGAAAAAAGTGCAATTTGAAAAATTAAGCATAAAATGTACATGTTAAATACTCAGAGACCATTCAGTGAAGGCTTCTGTTTGACTGCCATGATTTTCATTATTTTGACTGAAATTGCTGCTTAGCGGCAGACACCACGGAACCATGGTGAAGCAGCCCAGTCTTCCAGAACTACGATTTTTATCTACCATTATTTTTCCTATGGTGATTTAAGGTTCAAATTTCATAAACGTCTTAAAAAGAGCATAATCATTCATGAGGCTAAAACCCCTCTTCTAAGTATCTAAAGGATCAGGGCATTGGGGGGAGGGGGGTAAGCAAAGGGCTCAAGGCTTTTTAGTTTACAGTAGAGAGTGATGTGGAATGCTCAGCAATAATCCCTGCATAGGCCTGGAGAAGGTATTTTTTGTCTCGCTAAAACAATGCTCTCATTTACTGCCTCTGCTCTCAGAGCAGCTGAAAGTTGATGCAGACCATATGCAGCCATTATCTGGCAATTAGTAATGAACTTTGAATGTAGCAGACTTTAAAAACTCACACTTCTGCCTTAAATAAGGGATGGAAATATGTTGTAAATAACAACTAAGATTATTAAAGCTGACTGTGATTAGAACTTATTACAGAACATGACTTTCATACAACCATTTTGTTTATTTTGCTGTCTCCATCATGAGCCGCCTGACACTGAAGTTCATTCATTAGTTGCATGCATGCAATTTTCTCCTTTTGTAGAACAGGAAAAATATAAATGAAAATGCACCTAAGGCTCTGAAAACCTCAAATAAAAATATGAATGAAATTGTGACTTCATTGAAATAGCAATTCTACAGCTTATTCCGTGAGCCCAGATTTAAATGTATATATGTTGAAAAAGTGTTACTGAGCGTTACCATATATTCCGAACCAGGTTGTTTAGCATTCAGATAGCAATATACATCGCAGCAGTATTGACACGCCGGATCCGAGTGTGATAATTCGGTCTTCTCTGTACGAAGGCACTGCTGCTCAGCAGACCAGAACCTGCTGATGAAGCAGTGGGTGGCATGGTTAAGTACACGGTCGAAATTCCACAGGAGACTGAAGTACGACGAAAGTAAAGAGAATACGTTTCAGAAATGGAAGATGGGCGTCCTGCAGTTACGGTGGTGGGCACCGGGTATCCCTGTGCTCGTGTGAAGCCTAAAAAGGCGTCAGTAAGATTTTGCTTGAGGGCCATTACAGTTTGTATTTCTAGTGTCTGGTTCTGAGACTGCAAATGAAATTCATTGAGTAAGTAAGACTCTCGGTGACAAAGCATCAGGTGTAACACTGGTTCTTCCTTCTTTCCTCTCCCCTCCCAATTCTCTGTATAGGCTGGTGCAGAAATTTCAACTGTTAATCCTGAACAGTATTCAAAGCGCTTCTTGGACTTTATTGCCAACATCTTGACGTAACCTATCGTGTTACACAGGACAGACACGAGACCTGGGGACAGCAGCAGTGGCTACAAGTGTAGTGAAAAAAAGGAACTCGGAGAAGCGCTCATCTTACCGAAAGCAACCCCTTTGTTTACATCTGCTGGCAAAGATGACTGAAGTGGGGTGGAGTACTCGCTTTAACAGCTGCCTGATATTCCCAGCATAGTTCTAGCTATTTCTGACTCTTTTGTGTGTGCAAAAAAAAAAAAAAAAAAAAATTAAATTAAATAAATAGACAGCTTATTCAGAGTGCACTGTGAAAGTAATACTCTGATGCTACCAGCTGAAACAGAGTAAGTGAGCAAAGTGTGGGGTGGGGGTGGGGAAGAGTAAATGCATGTTAAATTTACAATATTGATATCAAATTGTAAACTGTGGATCAGTTTATTTTTTGAACTAAAAACATACATGACAGTATTCTTCATGACAGTATGATGACGATGATGATAATAAAAACCTTACTGCGAATGTTACACTTACACCCTGCACACTGGCACTCCTTAAAAAAGCAGCTGCAACAGCCCTTGGTGCCGGAGGCTTTTCCCATTCGGTTCCTAGCAGTTGGGTTTTTCCTTTTTTTTTTTCTCCTTCTCCCGTTTTTGTCTTCTTTTCAGCACATTGCATCGGGAAGTTCGGCCTCTCAGACATCTGAGAGCCGGCGTCTCTTACCTTCCGAAGAGCTAACGTAATTCATGCTGTATGTACATTTTTGCTACAGTAAACTTATGTTAAGGGAAAACTTTGCTTATTTTGCTTTCTTACCTGAAGTTTTCATTTGTTTTCTATTCTTGCAGTATAGGAACTAATAATGTTACAAGTGGTAAAAAAAGCTTAGCTGAAGAAGCGCATAGTTTTGGGCAATAGTAGCTCCATCTTTCACCCATTGTGAAAGATGTGCACACTGATAGAAATTCCATTCCCTTGTAATTTACTGGGAATTTGAAGTTTAAATGCTTGTGTTGTACTGTTGAAACAGCGGTATTTTATTATAGATTATCCCTCTAAAAATGAACCCTGAATATTTACTGTTTACATTATTAGGAAAGCAGGGATATTTCTGAATTTCAGAGCCGTGTACAATATATGACTTTTGAGTTTACATGTAAAGTTATTTTGCAGTACAAAATGAAGTAATGTTTGTCATCTTCCAAGGTGTAATGTGCAGTAGTATACTAAAGTGAATGTCTCGCTCACCTCCATGATGGACTCTTTTACAACAAAATGAGAAAGGTTATTTCAGAGGGTTTTTTCCCAAGGTAGTCTTTTAGCATCAAAATGACCTGTCCTACCATTTACTCAAGTTTGATTGTATAGTACATTGCCTAAAACTGTGCTGATCATGTTTAACTTGTTTAAAATTTTTAAACATTGTATTTCTTCTCTTCTTGTATTTTTCCCTGAAAGACTCCATGCTTGAAAGAGACAAATTTACATTTGCTTAAAAGTTTATCTACTTATACACTGTGCTAAAGCTGTGCCTTTAAAATTTCTTCATTGAAATCGTTAGATTTTGTAGGCAACGTAAGAGAAGTCAAGCCCTCCCCGTCATCATTTATAACTCACATCAGGAGTGCCAGCATGCCTTCTCCAGAACTAACGTCAGTGCTGTTCAGCCTGCAACCGTGCATAACGTATGTAGTGGTTTACTTCAGAGGAGCCTATACGATAGCAACCCATTACACTCTCTTCAGCGGCCAAAGGCAATACTATCCCTGTTGCTTTGTACTAATTTTTTTCTCCTTTCCCCCACCTTCCCTACAGGTTTTTTTGTTACGTTTGACTTAGTGATGTCCGCAGCACTGTAATGTATGTGTATACTTTTGTATTGTATGTATTTAAATAAGTTGGTACTGTGGCTTGATATTTTTTTTGTCCTCCCTATATACCCCAGTTGTCTGCATTCTCACCCAAGTTTCATTTTCTGAAGCGTGCTGTGGCTTCTTAAAGTATGGGGCCACAGGGAGACCCTGAAGTAAAAATGAGGTACACATACTTGGAGTAACGTATTTGATTGCGGCCAACGAGCGTACATTTTTAGACAATTTTAGACATTTAAAACAAAGCATTCTTTTTGTCTGTGTAGCAGTTTTGTCACTCATTCTTGTTGATAAACTGTTTATTTGGACAGGGCAAGGAAGATTCATTATTGTATATGTTAGTGCTTAGATTACACTCCAAACATGAGCAAGGCTTTATAAAATAAAGCACTTTGATGACTCACTAGGTAAATCCTTTGTTCTTGTGTTTCAACTGTGGTTTTGATCTCTTACAGATGAATTTTGGATGTTAAAATGAATGTGTAGTCTATATTGCAAAGGAAAAAATAAGAAACTTTTAAAGCCTTTTCATTAGATTTTACCCAGCTTCTTCCATGCTTACTTTAAGTGGCTTGAAACATTTAGCCTTTGGGGTTTGGGGCTTAGGCTGTGCTCTGAGAGCAAACACTGAGGTTTGTGATTGACGATTCTATGGACTAAATCCTAATATTACTACAGAAACAGGAAGATTGTCCCCAATAGTAAATTGATAGAAGGATTGGCAGAGCTTTGCTAACGTGTGTAAGATCTTCCGCTAAACCAGTTATTTAAAAAGTACTTGGGAATAAGCCCAAATAATTCACGGGGAGGAGGGAGGGCCTTCTGTTCTAGAATTTCAAGGGTTTGATTGTCAGGGCTTTCAGTGCATGATACAGCCTGTGCTGCACATCGTGGGCAAATGGCAGAAAAGTGTCTTTTTGTCTTTAATCTGACTGACTTTTAATTTTCTTAATACATTTGTCACTTTTCAGTTCCTTTCAATTTATTCCACAGATGTATTTTCAATAATTTTAATATTATCAGCAATATTTTTACCTGTAAAATACACATGGCAGAATTAATGAGAAAGTAGGCATTCCCCACAGGGAAGATGGTTGAAGAGCCATTCTATTAAAAGTAGGTGAAGTGCTAGGGAGGGGAGAGATTCAGCTTCTTAATTACTCACTTAATGATGTCTCTAGTATTAATCTAAGCCTGCACGTGTCACAGCTGCTCCAGCTGCTTAGGGTTTAGTCTGGACGTGGTGCTCAAGGAATGCTGCTCAAGTTAGGTGGACACGTTGGCCACGGTGGACAGCAAGCTCCCTGGCTGGTTCTCTGTGCCTGCCACTCGAACCATCTACCATGCCAAACTCTTGCGCTGCTGTTGTAATACAGATGTGCATGGGTTGTTGGTAGCTGGTTTCTCAGTGCCACCTCCCTCGCAACGTAACATGAAAGCTTCCAATATACAAAGCCAGCACAACGTGCCAGGTCTAAAAACCTGCTCCAGTTGTGCTCCAAGAAACTATTCAACAGCTGAAGTGTTACTTAGGCTTTCCTCGCTTTTTTTCTTAAGACTACTGGACATTCTGGGATTTAATATCCCAGTAAGTATAGTATATTTAAGTTTTAAGCCAGCCCTGTCTTTTGAAGCGGTGGTTTAGTGGAATTATTACTCCTGCAGGCCCCTACAGCACTGTTCTCTAGCTGACACTGAGTCTTCATACAGCTACATAAGCAGCTGAAGGACCTTGTCTTAGTAGAAGTGTGTATATGACAATGCATAAGAAAATAATACGTTTTCTGATAAAATGTTTTCTCTCCCTCTCACCTGAAGAAAACCTGAAGGCAGTGATGATATTCAAGGTAGGAGATCCAACCGGTTTGTTAATGCAAGGACTGCAGCAAAAGACATGTGTAAATTAAAAATTCTTGGAAACAATATTTTTTCTGTGTCAACTACATAATCTAAAGGTATAATCTGAATTTCCAGCTCCCTCCCCCGTGCTTACCTCTTCTTTTCCAAAGTAATGCTAGTTAGCAAGTCCCTGCATCAAGTGGGTTCATCACATTCTGATGGTCTCATACCCCACCTTCATCCAGTGTCTGCTCTATGTGTGCTGTCCACTTGGTTTCTTTCCGACTCCCATATATTTAATGGGAAAATAAAAAATAGAGAGCAGTTAACTTAAAGGAGAAATCTGTTTCACCTCCCTTTCTGTCCTGATTTCTCTGTTGCTTCTGGAAGGCAGCATATCCTTTACCATGCAGTGCGGTAGCAAAGAGCAGAGGCTGCACAAGCAGGGCAGTGGGCTCTGTCTTTAATCTCAGCTGGACAATGACGGTGGTTTACTCCTGCACGAGACTGACCCGAGATCTACTTTCGTGCTACAACAAGGGAATGTGCATGAACAAGTGACTGAGTAAGAGCTTGACAGCAGCATCTTCAAGTAGCAAAGGCAATTTGTGTGAGATTAAAATCGCTAACAATAGCCGTATTAAAACTGCTAGAAAACAGGGCTGGAAAGGACATGAAGAGAGAGTTACAATCTGCCCCAGAGCAGTTCGACTGTAGATAAACATGGGCAGAAATTGGGTTAATCTTTTCCAGGGTGGGTAGTTCCATGAGTCCCCTGTGCTATCCCTTCCTGTGCCTCGCTAGCTGTATCATTGGAAAGATTTTTTCTAATACCTTACTGGACTCTACATTACTACAATTTAAGCCCATTAGTATTTTTTCTGTCTACAGTGGACCCTGAGAACAGTTTATTCTCTTCCTCTTTCAGTTTCTCTTAATGTGATCCTGCCTCTATGTACTGAACAATGTAAATATTAGCTTTTGCACACATTAAATTTAATATTCCCTTTCCTTATTTAACAAAATAATCAAAATGGTGTAAGCCAAACAGAATGACGTATTCCAGGTCAGGTTGGACGGGGCTCTGAGCAACCTGATCTAGTTGAAGATGTCCCTGCTCAATGCAGGGGGGGTGGACTAGATGACCTTTAAAGGTCCCTTCCAACCAATCTGTGATTCTATGATTCCATTTTTTGTAATGCCTAATTTTTTAAAAAATCATCTGTTAAGATGGTGCTTCTTAATTGTCAGTCACATTTTCTAAATGGATTTACAGATGTTGAGAATTTCCTAGCCATCCATTTACCATCTAATAAAAAAAAATTGTAATAATTGCTGTTTGAACAGAATGCAGTTTCAGAATGAGCACACAGCTAGTGCTTAGCTGTAGTTGTTGCTATAACTGCAATAAAATACTAACTGCTTTTCTGTTTTCCCAAAGTAAACAATACCATGTTCTTAGCTTTCCTAATGATATTCCCTTCTCACAGCTTCTAGTCTCATCTTCCTCAGTGGTATGACATAAGATAATTATTTGGTCATAAGGATTAAAATATAAAAAATAGTTCTCTGCGAGCTGGCATAAATTCATTCTTACCTAGTGCTCTGAATATTTGTGGGCATTTCAGTTATTGCCCAATATGCTTTGAGTTTATAAAGAGCTCCGACTTTGTTCCCACTCGATCTGATTCATTCTTAGTGACTTATTTTATTTAGCGATGTGTATCCTATTGGAATAGATGGTGTTTGTGAGAACCTTGTGTTTTGAAGAGGTTTGGCACTTGCATACAAGCCTGGAAGGTGATTTAACTCATTACGTTTCTCCATTTCTGCTGTTTCACCTTGCCAGTGTGTGGGAAGCCCAAGGCCAGAGCACTCTTTCCATTTTATGCTTTTTCAAGTGGATGCATAAAAATATTTTGTTACAAGAATATCTCGGTCACTCTAATGTCCACAGCGTCTTTGGCATATACACGGGCGAGCTGCAGTTACGGGGCTGACAACAATTCTAGTTTTTCTTCCACCACCTGAGGATAACAGGGTCGTGTTTGATGCTGCTTAAAAGAAAGTCCCATGTTCCCAAGATGCGCCTGCTTATCCCAGCAGCTTGGATTCAAGGGATGCATAAGAATCCTTTCTACCCGAGTAGGTCTGATTAATTAGTGCCTACTTTAACTGGGTGCATAATGCTAAATTGAACTTCACACTCGGGGTCAGGGCCCTATCCTCCTTCGCACTGTGTAATTGCATAACAAAACCAAAATATTTTCTGCCTTGAAGGGCTTTGCTCTTAAGTATTTCCACTTAGTTCAGTAGTCAGTCTTAGACAGAAGAAGTTTATTTGTACATCGGCTGCACCAAAGACTTTGTGTTTGGGGTGAGAGGCTGTTAAAATATCAAATAGCACTGTGCAATTATGGTCATCTCTTTACAGGGTACCATGGAAAGAATCTGCTTTCAGTTAAGCACAATGATGAGCACGCTAGCAGTTAATACTGCTCTGCTGCTTCAGTTGTAGCAAAGCTCTGTGTGGAAGGAAAAAATGAGTGTTTGGTCTGTTTACATTGTGAAGTGCTCTAGAGCGGAAGTTTCCAAGTTGTGTTCCACACGCCGCAAGCCGCAGCATCTCTGTGCTGGGCTGCTCTTTCACCCCAGGGTGCAGGAGAGGGCGATGGCACTGGGTCTGTCGGAAGGGGAAAAACATTTCTAGCCTCAAAACCGGACCCAGCTGTACAGTGGTGCTTTTGGAGGCCCCAGTCTGGAGAGAGAAAAACGTGCTCTCTGTACAATCTAGTGTTGAGGAATTGTGATGGTTGAAATTGCCTCTTGGATTTAAGTAATGTCCTTAAAAAATGCGGTATCGTTCCTCATGGCACTTCCCCTGCCAGCCACGAGCCTGACAAAGCAAACGCAGCTCCCTGCTTGCCCTCTGACTGTGTTGCTCTCAGGCAACCAAAGTGTTTAACGGGGATGAGAAGGCTCCTGGGGCTGCTGGCAAGTGCAGCTCCCTCAGCGTCAGCAAGTGGAAGAAAATAGATGGTCTCCCCCTGTTATTTAAATGTTTTCTAAACATTTTCTCATGCATTATGTAGCCTGCTGATCTCCCACACCAATCTCCTCATGAGACTCACTCCCCACGACCACTCTTAGGAAAACGTGCATGTGGCTTATTGTTCCTGCCACCTTCACTTCACTTCCTCACTTCACTTGCCCACTTCACAGGTAGACATATAACTGTCTTGTCTGCCACCAAATTGCAGGACAAAGTGGATAAAGCCACCCAGTCTAGTCCTCTGGCAACTCAATTTAAGAAGAGAAGAGGGGGAAAAAAAGACACAAGGGATGATGGAGTGGGGACGGACACACAGACACTGCTTGGCAGCTAGGGACAAACACAGGGCAGGCAGAAGACTGCTCCAACACTGTTGCCTGCCTGCCTGCCTGCCTGCACAAGCCCTCCACAAACGATGGCATCTGACACGTAGTAAGCCACTGAGCAGTGTCCCACCACTCTGCTCCACCTTCTCACCTTCCCAGGAGGACCAACGCTGAGCACCTAGCTTCCTCGATAGA